CCTATAAATAGCACCATTGTGGGAGCTTCAAGGAGGAGAAATCTATTTCTCTTGAATAGTAGGGTAGAGAGCTAGTTATTGTACATTTCTTGTTTATATTTTCATTTTATATTTGTATCAACCATGATGGAGGCTTAGACTCTCCTTGTAGTTGAAGTCTTTTATTTACTTGTGCTAAGTCTTTACATTCATGTTGTGACAACCATGATGGAGGCCTAGACTCCCCTGGTAGTTATACTTGATTTTATTTACAATTATCAAGAGAGAGATAGCTCATCTTTTGGTTGTGGTGGAAACCCTCCAAAAGTAACTAGCTTTCTTCTACTTTATTTTACTTCCATTGCTTGAGCTTCCTTCTTTCTTAGAAGAGTAAAACTTTTCAACTTTTCTAGAGTTTTACCAAAGTCGTGAAGGGTGGAACGTGATTCATTTATTCTTCATTGAAGATAAGCTCTTTGTTTAGTTTGCTTCACTTAGTAGCTCCTCTACTTGGAGGGATGAGTATCACTAAATTTTCTAGCTTTGCCAAGGCCATGAAGAATGAGTAGTTCCTCGTTCACTCTTTAGTAAGAAATGATGAATATGGAAAGATTATTCGGAAGGCATGTTAGTGCAACTCTTTTATGCTTCAATGCTTTATATTCCACTTGCTCATTGGATGTTTGAATACATCTAGCAAAGTTAAGGTACTTTGTATAACCAAGTGCTCCTTCTATGATACGGATGACTCCTGCATAGAAAGACCCATTGGTTCAAGGCAAGCTCCCCGACTAGCTCTTCATGACAACCTTTCAATCTCCACCATTATTGCGCTTTATTCAAAGAATAGAACATTAATGTCATGGTTGTATGCCTTGTAGAAACACTTGCTTGTTTGTAGACGGGTTAAGTCTCGACACCGACAATTCTTGTAAACTTCTAGAAAGGCATCGGAATCATGTGCTTAATTCTCACAATCCATCTTTATCTTCCGATTAACTTGTTGTTGACATGAGAGTTAATTGAGTTATAAAGCACAAACATAATAAACCAGATAATCAATTACATGTTCTGATCTTCGAACTAAATTGTGGTTGTTATCTCTGCTAATTTAACTTATATTTTGTCTAGAAAAAAATCATTGGAAAGAATCTTATATTCTGTCCAAAAAACTCCACAACTTCAAATTCTCAAGACTTCTAGTTACTTGGTCTCTATTATTGCTTACTTCAAAACACCAATTATAGTTCCCTGTGGATTCAACTCCGGACTTAACCGGATTATTACTACAACTTGACCGCCTGCACTTGGGTGTACACATTTCGGATCAAGTCAATTAGCACAAAAATATTGCACATTATGTATGCTTTTTATACCCCTTCATACTTGTTTTTGTGGTGGAAATGGGAAGAAATGCAATTAATCAAACAATTAATGAAGTTGTTACGGGATTGTAGGTAAAAAGTTGGATATGGCTTCAGTTAAGCCCCCATCATAGTGTTCAAAGTTAATGGAGATGAAGGGTGGCTTAACAGGAGGCTTGGAAGGTGAAGAAATCAAGAAAAAGGCAAGTGAGGAGAAAAACCTTCTGGAAGGTTTGGTCATAGACCTTCTGAAAGGTTTGCACACTGGAAGGCAAAGACTCAACCCCTGCCAAAACCTTCTGAAAGGTTTTGCTTCAACCTTTTGGAAGGTATTTCACACTGGAGTTGGTTCTACCTCAAACCTTTCGGAAGGTTTTGCACACTGGAGTTGGTTCTACCTCAAACCTGTTGGAAGGTTTTGCTTATTGGACAACTTTTGCCTCTGCCCCTGCCAAAACCTTCCAAAAGGTTTTGCTTTGACCTTCTGGAAGGTTTTGCTGAAAAATGCCAGATTCTGCATCTTAGGCTCTGCCACTTGGGGGGTCCCACCATTACTTCTCCCACACATTCCTGACATGTTACATATCCCAGCATACCTCGCTACACCTAGGCTTGGACTTTGGAGGCCAAGACATTTATGAGGAAGAGAGAGAAGGAAAGCCTAGGGGTTGCAAGCTAAGCTTGTCCTAGCCTGTCCAAGCCATTATCTCACCCCCCATTGATGGGAGACCTGCACACACAAGCTATAAGAGCCTCATGGGTGAAAATGCAAAGGAGTTACACCATTGTAGATTATTATTCAACAATATAGAGAGAAAAGCTCAAGGAAGAAGACATAGTTTTAGAGAGAGAAAGTTTAGATTTTTGCATTTTCTTACCCATTTTTCTGTTGTAAGCTATTAGACTCTTATAATCTTCATTGCATGCACTCTAATGTCATTTATTTCAAGTGTATTGAAAGTTTTGTCATGTATCTTTGAATCTACTATTGTTACATTTAAGCTTTTCTTCTCAAGCTTTCCAAATGGGTTTTAAATGCACTTATCTTTGTAGTTAACTTTTCTTTACATTAAAACAAGTTTTAATCTCCATTTCATTACCATGTCTCTTTCTACATTGTATGACTTTGCATTTAATATGAGTAACTAAGTTTTATGTTGGCTAATCCAAGCAAAATTTCCTCTTGGATATGCTAAATCAACTCTCCTCCATTCTCCCTTGTAGTGTAAAGTATTCGATTTGGCTAGGTTGAGTGCGGACGTGGTTATGAGCTCTTGATACACCATAGACTTGTCACAGGGTATGTTTGAGCCTACACCTCCATTTTAATCCCTCATTTCATACGAATCAAATGAACACCTAGACACCATTGGAAGAATGTTTTAAGTTGATTTGGCATTCCCATTGGAACGACCACTTTGGATTAGCCAACTTTGTTTCCATTGCAATTTTAACAAGGACTCCACTCATCAAAAGACAAACTCACAAGATTTTACACTTTTTCATTTTCACAAAATCACCTTCACACAATTCAACCTTCCTTCCCTTAGGAGACGACATTGGAATACCCATTTCAAGTAAAACACGACACTCGAAAGTCTCTCTTCGCTTAGAGAGCAGTTTTTGCACACACACACACATTTTCATCTACACACATGTTTTCCCATTTATAGCACCAAACCCGAGGAAGAGTGACACTCACCTATCATTATAAGCCAAATACAGTTGGTCTGGGTTAGTGTTTGGAGATTAGTATTGTCAGGAAAGGCAAAGCGTTGAATTAGAAGGAAATTTCAGACAACGGAGGTAAGTACCGTGATTCTCATCAAGGGTCGAGGTATGTTGCTCCTTATATATGCTTTTGTTTACTTTTCAATTCAATTTTAGATATTATTTTTGCATGTGGGGACGGGACGACCAAAATAGATTGGTTAGACAACACCTAGAACCCAATATGAATCTTGACCAAGACCTACTCGAGGATGCCGGTGATAATTTCAAAGATGAGCAGGCTAATGTTCCAAGGGGTGGGGGAATGCAAAACCCTAGAATGCCAAACCCCCCGAATGCATTTTCTCCCTCCTAGGAATGAGGGAAACCATATCCCAATTGATTCTCCGACAAGGTCAATGCAAGATTATCTCCAACCCACTCGTAGAACCACTCCCTCATGCATTCTTTTACTGGTCCAAGCTCATGCCTTCCTAGTTAAACCGAAGACAACTACTTCCTCAATTTCATGGAATTGAAAGAGAGAATCTTTATTTTCACATTAAGGAATTTGAGAAAATAGTTGCAACCTTCCTCACTAATCATGCTTCGATCCTCCAGTTGAAGAGTAATTGGAGTTGGCTTCTAGTCCTCAAGTTGTAATTGTTGATACGTTGAAAAGTATATGAGATTGACACTTGCTCCCAAGTCTAGCAATACTTGCTCTACACAACAATTCCTAATGGTTATGACAATGGTAGGACAACTGAGATCCTTGAACTTGGGTGGAGTGTTTGTCCTCAAGATGTAACTCATTTGTTTGGTGAGGAATGCCTTCTTGTGCACATTCAACTTCTAATTTGATCACTTTATAATATTTGTTGGGATTTGTAATTAATTTAATGATTGTAATGTATTAAATTAATAAATTATGTCTAAATAACAATTGCATGTTTGGTAACAATTTCTGAAAGAAAAGTTGTGATTAATTATTTTTAGTTTTTAGAGTCATATAATCAAACAAGTTATGCGAAAAAAAATATTAAAAATAATTTTCTAAAACTCTTATCAAAAACAGTTTTTTGAATTGTTTTTAAGATGCAAAATAAGGCCTAGGTTTTTGTAATTTTTTACTTTTAAACAAAAGACACGTGTTAGGCTTCCGCCCTCTCATGTGGTGTTACTGGCCATACTCATTCTGTGGTTGCAAAACATAAGTTCACAGCCAATCGCATGCCATACCTTATCCTTCCCATTACTTACAGGTTTGCCCGAGCAACCATACATGGGAAAATGATATATATATATATATATATATATATATATATATATAAATCACAAGATGAAAGAGTTTTTTTTTTCGTGTTTCCATTTGAGTTGGGGGCGGGGGTGGGGGGAGTCTGTGACAAGTGAAAAAAAAATTTACAGAACACGTTCAAAGACAGAAGAAAAAAAAAATTGATTTAGATTCTCTTGATTTAATATTATTTATTTTAATAAATCTTAATCATTGATGGGTAAATTTACTTAGATTTCATTGATGGGTAATCTTAATCAGTTACATTCATATCCATCCATCAGTGGGACACAATAAGTTAACCGATGAAATGAATGATTGAACTCAATATAAAGAGCAATGTTAATTAAATTAAATTTATTTATTTTATTTGTTGATTTAATAAATCATAAGTATTGGATTGGTAATAAATTTATTAATTAAATTTTTTTTATAAATTTAATGATTGTGATAAATTAGGATCAATAAATAATTACGTTCAGATAACATTTTCATAATATAAATTGACAAAACTTGAAATTAAATTTTCTTTTTAGAATTAACTTCACAATATTTTTCAAACGCAAGGTTAATCGACCAATTTTCTTGTAAATATTGTATAATAAATCACATAACGTAGGGGGAGAGTGTGTGTGAGAGAGAGGGGTATTGGGTGTCTGTTATATCGACGAGAGAGAGAGAGAGGTTTACAACATTATTGCATCTCACATTGCTCCATCAAATGATTTCTCTTACACAAGAATAGGAGGAATGGCTCATTTCCATCCAAACTGTTCCAATTTTCCTAAAGGATTCGGTGGAGAACCTTCATGGAGATGCAGAGGTACAAAAAACTATGATATTGATCTAATTGACAGCAGAAAAAATTGGAAAAATTCAAGTCATAGTGTGAGCATTCGGAGGAAGACAAGGACGTTGGAGAATGGGAGAGGTTTTGGTGCGCAGTGCTGTAGTTCTTCAACCCAATCAACTGACGGAGTAGAGTTGGCTGGGGAACTAGAGCTGAATGGAAAATATGGAGACCGAAAGAGGCAGTTTGGGAATTTGGTCAGTCAGCATGGATGGCAGGTGAGGAGGATGGTTGAGAAGAAAGATGAGATGAGGAAGGTAGCTCACGTTCAAGCTGAAGCATTTCATGTTCCAGTGATTCTCTTCAATGATTTGTTCTTCATGTTCTTTCAGGTTCTGAATTCTGATCATCACATGCACTCTGTTGATTTGTGTGTGTTTTTGTATGGTTTTGCTATTTAATTTCCTTTCCTGTCTATTGGGTACAATAATGTTTTGATAATTCTGTTCCTAAAGATCCTGTTCTTCCTCTGTTATTGTTCTTCCATTTGTGTCATGATTTATCTTTTTTTCATAAAGTATCTGTCACCTGAAATGCTATGTCTCTGCTTTGTTTGTATAGCAAACATGGTCCACGCACGGGTGGTTCAGTGACCGAATCTCGGTGGAAATGTGAATTGGCATTTCCTGAGTTTGAGTTCCATTGTATGTAGATACTGGGATTTAACCAATGGGCTATGTGCGATGTTTGCCTTGCGAGTAAAAAAGTTGCGTGATTAAATTAATTTCCGTTACCCCAAAAAAAAAAAATTGCCCATTAAATGCTATTCAAAAAAATTCCATAGGCTCGATAAACAAAGCAGATACTTCTCCAATATAAAAGAACTCTAAATTTGCGTTCTGCCGAAATTCATTTCATCATCATTAACTTTCAAGTAGGCTAATTCTAACCCTACCTTTCATTCATGTATCACACAGGCTGAAGTGCTTTCTGGACTTCTATACAGACTCACGAACTCACCACCAGACAGGTAAACATTTGCTATGGAAGAGTGCTACATAGTTACCTGAACGACATATTTGTATTACCAATTGACATGAAGTAGAGCACGGTTTTGTAAGAATGTCAGTAGTTGTAGTTTTCAGCCAATGATTTCTTCACGCCTTTCTCTTGGTAGATCCTGATGAGTTCGAATTTTACTAGGTCAAACCCAATAAAAATAAACCGAAAGAGTCCAAAGAAAAGTTCAAGAACAGATGTATCGACCAAGGAGTCAAGTGGGAGTCTAAAACAGAGACCAAACCCATCCTCAAAGGGGGCGCCACCCAAGGGACCAAATGGGCGCCGCCCAGGGTGTCCAAGGGGTGCCACCCATGAAGACTCCAAGTGAGCGCCACCCATGTGGCCTCAAGTGGGCGTCATCCATGCCTTGCCCATCGTCCCCTCCTCACTTCACTCCAATGCAAGTCCAATATCACTTCGGGTCTAAGCCCAAAGTCAAGCACGAGCTCAGTCTAGTTCAAGACCCTCCTCCGAAGAAATAGGAGCACGAGTGAGAAAACGCCGAGATAGGCACAGAGATCTCCTACCGTAGCTGTACTTACTAAAACAGTAGAAGTCTTCCTCCTCATGTCACCGCCTAATCACAACTATATAATATAAGTCCTCCCCATATAGAGGGCAGAGGCTCTCATAACCTAGAGATCCCTACATACACTACACCTTCTTACACACACTGCTCTCTCTCTCCAAAGCACTGTAATACACCAGAGTGACTCTCTTGGTGACACTATTCATTAATAGAACGCCCCAGACTGTCGTCGCTATTCTCAAGAGTGGACGTAGGTCACCCGAACCGAACCACTATAAATCTCTGTGTTGGTTGCTTATTTACTATTTTTGTCCATTGATTGTCGTTGATTGCTCGTTAATTGCTCATTAATCTCACCCATTAATATCTTTGACTACTGATCTTGCACAAGTCAATTTGGTGCATCATCAGTTTAGCACTGTTTGTAGGAAAGACTAATTTCCTACTTTCACTCAATCCATGGCAATCATTATCCGTTCGATGAGCTAGCAACCGGGAGACAACAATCCAGCTCACCGGGAGGAGGCTTTGCCTCCCACTACACCTATGGAACCTTCCGCTACTACTACTCCCGTCGTTGGACAACAGCAACAACTCCTCCAGATCATGAAGCTACTGGTGAGCCAAAATCAGCAAATCATCCAACTCATGCTCTCCCAAGGAGGCGTCACCCCTCCCCTCGCCAGAGGAGTCCCACTCCCTCCACTGGGAGAAGAACAATTGCCTATCTCTCCTGGGCGCCAGACAGCCCTCCACCACGGGGCCCCTCGCCAGACCACTCCTGGACCACGCCAAGGCGCTCCTCATCTAGCCCCACCTCAGTGCGCAAGGAGTTCTCGAGTGCCCATTCCTTATGAACCTAGGCAGGAGGACGAAGACCGAGAAAGTTAATATGGAGACCATGAAAGCCTGTACCACCACCAGACTGAGGGTGTCCCCAACCAGTGAGACAAGAAGATCAAAGAGGTACAAAACCAGCTTGGTGATGCCCTTAACGCCATCAAAGCACAGGCATCTGAGACCGTGGACTATTTAGTAAGATGCACTGATACCCCTTTTATTGTTGATATTATTAACTATCCCCTACGCTCGAAGTTTAAGATGCCTGTCATCGAGATCTTCGATGACACCAAAGCCCCCTAGACCACCTGTACACCTACAAATCCCTCATGCAACTCCACAACGTGCCTGAGGAGATCATGTGCAGAGCTTTCCCTACCACCTTAAAGGGGTTTGCCCGCCAGTAGTTCTCCAAGCTCAGACCCTCCTCCATTCATGCCTTTGCAGAGCTCAATAGGTCCTTCGTCTCTCACTTCATTAGGGGACACCGCCATCAGAAGCCGGTAACCCATTTGCTCACTATCAAGCAGGACCGGGATGAAAGTCTCTGAAATTACCTTGCCCAATTTAATGAGGAGACCATCCAGGTTGAGGAACCAAATGATAAGGTAGCTCTGGCCACCTTTATCACTAGCCTCCGTACCTCCAGCTTCATGTTCTCAGTCCTCAAGAAGGCGCCCTCCAACATGCCCAAACTGCTGTCAAGGGCACAAAAGTATATGAACGTCGAGGATATCACCAAGGCCAGACGAGGTGAATCCTCCCATGGGGCCGAAAAGAGGAAGGATACCCACGAAAACAGGAAAGAAACAGAGAATAAGAGGAATAGGACAGAGAAAATCTCCACCAAGGACCGCCTTGGTCCCCTACTTCTGAGAGAACGACAGACATTCACGTCGCTCAATACTTCCGCGGAGTATATCCTGTTCCAAATACAGGATGATCACATGCTCCGTTGCCCTGGAAAATTGAAGTCCGACCCAAACCGCAGAAATCCCAATAGGTACTGTCGTTTCCACCGCGACCACAACCATGATACGGACGACTGATTTGATCTTAAAAGGCAGATCGAGGAACTCATATAACTTGATCATTTGAGGCAATACGTTGCTGACAGAGGACAAGCCCCGCCACCTGGTCAAGACCAGGATGACAAAGAACACCAGCAACCCCTCGGAGAAGTTCTGATGATCTCCTGAGAACCAAGAGGAGTAGTTGACTCAAACTCCACTAAGAAAGCCTCGACTCACCTATGGATGCCGACCCCCAAAATATTTTATCTATCCTTTATTGTTTCAATTATTTATTTTGTTATTTATTATTTTATGAAATAAAATTCAGCGAAGATCATTGTCTCCAGAATTGTCTTGTTCTCCTAAAAATTGACAAACATCTTACAGAGCATGACCTAAAAACAAGGTGTAGACAAAAGGACAACAATCATCAGTCGTCATACTCTCAACGATCAATCACTGCTTCTTGAGGCACAACCACTATAATCAAGGTTCTTCCCGTCATCAACTACTGGCGGTGCCTCATAGGGGACGAAGCTAGAGAAATCAACAGTGGCCCTCTCATTAGGCTCCTAGAAGCAAGCACCTAGGCGGGTGCCGCCTATGCCAGAACCTAGGTTGGCATCCTCTAGACTAGCGCCCTGGCTATCACCCATGATGACTTGCTCACCTTCTGCACGCCACCCAAGAAGGACCTCTCTACTCCTGGCACCAGTGTCCCTAGGAGCCCAACCTCAGGCGCCCAGACAAGGGGTCTCACCCTGTCCACATTAGGCGCCCCTTGATGCCGCCTCGGTGAGGGGTCTCGCCCTCTCTACCATTGGGCGTATCCCTTGATGCTGCCTAAACGATGGGTCTCACTTCCTCTCACCAGACGTCCAGCCTCAGCGCCTAGTGCCCCTTGGTGTCCGTGCCTAGCGTTCTTCGACGTCTGCACCTAGAGCCCCTCAGCGTCCATGCCTAGCACCAAGCGCCCAGCGACGCCTAACTCCTCAGTGACATCTCTCATCTTCTCCATCTCTATGGAGTGAGACTTTGACCTAGTAGCTCTCTCAAGTGTTGCTCGAAAGTCAGCCTCAAAGTATCTCCTCCATCTTTATGGAGTGAGCCTCTGTCCTAGTAGTTCTCTCAAGTGCTATTCGAAGGTCAGCCTCAAAGTTGGGCAGTCCTCTCATGCGCTAGCCTCAACTTCTTCGCGGCATCCTTTCGTGCCTGCCGTGCAAGCTCTGCGGCATCCTCTCGTGCCCGTCGCTCAAGCACCAACTGCTCTTCAACAGGCTATATCTCCAGCTTCGTACTCTCTCACGAGTCGCAAAGAAGCTCGACCTTATCTAACCTCTGCTACGGCAGCCATCTCTCGAGTTATACATAGCTCATGACTCTGCTCTCGCGTAAGTAGTCACCTTGTAAGCCTCTGCTACGGCAGTCATCTCCTGAGTTATACGTAGCTCGGCCTCATCTCATGCGGCCCTCTCACAGGACGACCACAGCTCCAACTTTGCTCTCATGCAAATAGTCTGTCTATCTCCAGGTAATCATGTTAAGATATTTAAATGTTGGAATAACATTATTTTGTCAAGCACAATTTTGAAGCTACACTCCCTGAAGAAGACCGCGTTGGAGTCTTAGTTCTTATAGCGATACAAGTGCTAGCTCTGTTGTACACAGGAGTCACACTCTGGGAAGGAGTGGGGGCACCACTGGATCCCGTTCCCAGGAAACAACCTGGTCATTGGACCTTGGCCGAAAAGTACTAAGGGCATCAAACCTCGCCCTCTTGAGAGGAGGGAAAGACACCACCATAAAGGTAAAAAGAGTCCCCAGATCAACAGGGCGTTTATAATTAGAAACAATGTCAGTCAGTCACCTAGCACCAGAGAGGCGCCGCCCAGACTCAAGGCGTCGCCCAAACATAGTAGTGCCCAAAGCCTCCTAGAGTCGCCCAAGGCGCCTGACCAGCCTCCTGTTGTCGCCTAAGGTGCCTGCCTAACCTCTGGCATCACCTAAGACGCCTACCCAGCCTCTGGGTATTGTTCAAGGCACTACTCAGCCTGCTGACGTCACTCAAAGCACCATACTAGCCTCTAGTAGCGCCCACAGTAGCCTCCACTGTCGCCCAAAGGATGCAAAAAAAAAAAAAAAGGGGAGGAGTCGGTGTCCAGTGAAGCCAAGTAAAGAAAAAAAATAAGAGAGAGAGAGAGAGAGAGAGAGAAGGGAAGAGCGGTGCCCAAGCGGCCAAAGAAAAAGAAAAAAAAAGAAGAGAGGGGAAGGGCGGCGCCCAGTAGCCAAGAAGACCAAGAAGAAAAAAACAAAAAAAAGAGCCCACACCCAGGAGGGCGACGCCCAACCAGCCCAAGGAAGGAACAAAGAAAAAAAAAAAAGAAAAGAGAAAGAAGGAGCGGCGTCCAGCCAAACAAGGAAGAAAAAAAATAAAAAAAAATAAAAAGAAAGGGAGAGAGAGGAATAAGGCGGCGCCCAAGACAGCAAGCCAAGGAAGGAATAAAAAAAAAAAAGAGAAGAAGAGGAGGCTGAAGCAAAGGGCGGCGCCCAGGACAGAATAAGAAAAAAAAAAGGAGGGGGAGACGCCAAACCAAAGGAAGAAAAGAAAAAGAAAGAAAGAAAGAAAGAAAAAAAAGAAGAGAGAAAGGAGAAGGCCAACCCAACAACACGCTAGGACAGCTAAGAAGAAAAGACAAAAAAAAAAAAAAAAGGAAGAGAAACAGTCTGGAGAAAGCCAGCCCAACAAGCAAGGACAACCAAGAAAAGAAAAAGAAAAAAAAAAAAGAGAAAGAAGAAAAATAAAACATATGAAAAGTCAACAAAAAGGGCGGCGCCCAATCAGCCCAAAACAAGGAAGGAAAAGAAAAAAAAAATAAGAGAAGGAAGAGAGTCCAAAAAATAAAAAATAAAAAATTTTGATACCAATCAAAACAGCAGAGTCCTGAAGACGAGAAAAATTTCAACTCACTCCAATGAAGACGAAGCATATGCCCGCGACCCCTTCTTTTCGAAAAAGTTAGAGGCTCGAGGCATGGGAGGCAAATGATGAATCCAAATTTTACTAGGCCAAGCCCAATAAAAATAAGTCGAAAGAGTCCAAAGAAAAGTCCAAGAACAGACGGATCGACCAAGGAGTTAAGTGGAAGTCTAAAACAGAGACCAAACCCATCTTCAAAGGGAGCGCTGCCCAAGGGACCAAATGGGTGCCGCCCAGGGAGCCCAAGGAGTGCCACCCATTAAGACTCCAAGTGGGCGCCACCCATGTGGCCTCAAGTGGGCGTCATCCATGCCTTGCCCATCCTCCCCTCCTCACTTCACTCCAATGCAAGTCCAACATCACTCTGGGTCCAAGCCCAAAGTCAAGTACGAGCTCAGTCCAGTTCAAGATCCTTATCTGAAAAAATAGGAGCATGAAGGAGAAAACGCGGGGATAGGCACGGAGATCTCCTACCATAACTGTACTTACTAAAACAGTAGAAGTCTTCCTCCTCACGTCATCGCCTCACCGCCTCATCACACCTATATAATATAAGCACTCTCTATATAGAGGGCAGAGGCTCTCATAACCTGGAGATCCCTACACACACTACACCTTCCTACACACACTGCTCTCTCTCTTTCTCTCTCCAAAGCATTGTAATACATCGGAGTGACTCTCTCGGTGACACTGTTCATTAATAAAATGCCCCAAGCCGTCGTCGCCGTTCTCGAGAGTGGACGTAGGTCACCCAGATTGAACCACTATAAATCTTTGTGTTGGTTGCTTATTTACTATTTTTTCCCATTGATTGTCATTGATTGATTGCTCATTAATCACACCTGTTAATATCCTTGACTGTTGATCTTGCACAAGTCAATTTGGTGCATCATTAGATCCAATATCCACGTCGTATTTCATCATGGCTAAGAAGTTCAGAGTCATCGTTAACGAGTATGCTGGTAGGCATGAACTCAGTATAGAGGTAGCTTTTTAGCATTATTTGGACGAATAATGCTACACTGACCAAAATTTTGGATCAAATTTGGATCAAATGACATGGCAACTAACTTGGACTTCTTTGATTGGTATCATGTCATTTGGACCCCAATAAAAACTTCAAATAATCAACTGTCATGTCCTTTGAATTCTAAATTTGGTCAGTGTAACATTACTGTGGACGAGTAATGTTGGACTAAGTTGGTATTCTCATATTAGAGCACACAGCCTATCAGTTTTAGCCAAACACTTATAGTATTATATTAGGAGTAATGCTATTTGGATCTGAAAATTTCATCTAATTTATTGACATAATGATATGATTTAATAGGAATTATTGGATCTATACAAAATTCGAATATTTTATAAAATTTATAGTCAATCTAAAGATCACAATAAATTAAGTCAACAAATTATATTAATAAATTAAGTTCGAATAGCATTGCTCTTGTACTAGACAACGACTTCCCCTAATGATGAGAACTGTTACTTGCAGGTATGCGTGTCTGGTAGCGGAAACTGCACCTGAAGTTCCTGAGTCAGTGAAGGAGCTAGTGGGAGTCGTCGATATCACAGCCATGAGGGACGAAGCCGTTCTTCAACATCTCCCAGGAGTAGATGAATATCTGTATGTGTCCGGGATAGCTGTATTAAATAATTTCAGGTTAAATACTACCAAAGCAATCAACTTTGAATTGATTATGCTCCTGTATTACATATAGTTCTGGGATATCTACTAGGACCATAACCAGCCTCTATGACAGGAGGAAGAAAGTGGCCACTGCACTGCTAAAAGCCTGTGACAAGCTCTCTATTCTTTGGGGTTTTGAATATCTTGTCCTACGGGCTTATGAAGATGATTGGGGTGCTCGTAAACTGTATTCTAATGCCGGTTATAGAGTTGTCTCAGGAGATCCTCCATGGATGACTACTTGGATTGGCCGAAAACGTCGTGTTCTAATGATCAAACAGTCTAACCTCTGTGAGTAATCTATATTCAAAAAAAAAAAAAAGAGATTTAAAACGTCAGGATTAACATTTTGTTGACCTATGAATTGGGTGATCACACTTAGATATGTGACATATGATTGAATGTAATGGTTGACGGTTATTTTTCCATACAAGAGGAGAAAGACCATAGAGAGAGCCGCATAGGTAATTTAAATATGAACCAACATAACCCTCTAAGAGTTGCGATTGTGTCGAGAGTTGCAATCTTCCCAAGGGGTATGTTCGTTCACTTGAATGGGTGTCTTCTATGTCTATAAAATAGTATGAGGGCCTAGAGAATGATATCAAATACTTTCTTACCCTAATGACAGCAAATTGATTTTTTTCGATATTTGCATCACTTTGATTTTTTTCTCTTAGGATTGCATGTGATCCCCAATTTAACAACAGATAATTGCCAATATTGTTTCCCATGTGGGACCACTTGTGGTATCAGAGCAAAATTTTATCCCAAAGAAAATTTTACCGAAAAATCTTATATTTTCTCAGTTCAGGTTTTTTGCTTTCATTGCAATGGAGTTATTCAAAATTGTTCAAAGATTACTCTAGTGAAATTTAAGAGAGAAATAGTAAAGGATTGACAAGTGATAATGAATCGTTGGAGACAGAAAGATGCAGAAATGGTGATAATGAATCAACGTCTTTTCGGGCAGCGCTGTGATCGGAGATTTACTGCGTGAAGAAGAAAGAAACAGCCACTACATGGTGCATGGTTTCGTTTCTGTCAACCGTTTTCCTAAGATTAGAAATGGGCTTTAGTGTTGTGAAGGACTTGTACTTAATTCATACTGGGCCCAATGCTTAGCAAAGTTCATATGCAATCTTCACTTTTTCTGTGGATGAGGCTTAATGCAATCCGGACATGGGTTTGGTTAACACCCGATGGTATCGAAGATACGTGGGTCTCTCAATATCCAACACAACATGATTAATCAACGTGAATTAAACAGGTTTAAGTGAGGCTTTAATAGGTTTGAATAGTAAAAACGTTGGCTCGTTAAACACGTTTAACAAATGAGTCGTATTTGAGTGAGACTTGTCAACCCATTTATCACTCGTTTGCTCGTTTAAATAAAATAATAAAATAATAATTATTTTAAAAATTAGCTAGAATTTTTTTTTTAGTAACAACCACAGAAAAAGTTATATAACATTTTTAAATAAACAGGTAAATTGGTCTAACAAATTGTTTATGGTATTAACCCGACCCTACTCAATACGACTTGTTTAAAACTAAATGGGTTAAATGAGTCGTGTCATGTTACCCGTTTATTAAATATTTCGTGTTCGTGTTGAAATTTTTTACCTATTTATTAAACGTGTCGTGTATAAATTTATATATTTTTCACCCGTTTAACCAAACACCGTTGATACCCTAATGATATGACCCACTACATTTTTCAAGAGCCATTTGCTTAAGTGAAAATGATGTGGCATGGGATGAGCGTGATTCACCATCAAACCCAGCGAAAGTCTTGGAATCGGTTATAAAAGAATAGGATCATACATCCTATCAATCTGTGAGTGCACTATTTCAATTTACTATTACATAAGACTATTTTAATTGTGAGCATAACAATAGTAGTATTATTTTTGTTATTTTTGATTTTCCTTGACTTTGAAAAATTAAAATTTGCCGTTCTAATATATATAGTACTCAGTGATGTTTTGTATGCAATCCAGTGAATGGTTTTGCGGTTAGGTGATTTAGGACTCTATTGGTCATAAAATATCTAAAAGATGACATAGATGCAAATGTCTATTTTAGGTATAGACTTGTTAACTACACTTATATTTAAATAGAGTCGAGGCAAAACCAATAATCTGTTATATTGGATTGGGTTGAAACTTTACATATCTAGAGAATTTAGGAGTACAAGACATATCGTCTTATCCGAATGCCTTTCTAGGATAAGTTTAAAAGATGTGTAAAAAATTAAAATGAATAAAAAAATTTACATTTGGGTATAGGAATCATTGAAAATAAGGATGTTGAAATTCTTGAATCCACCAATTAATAACTCCCATGGATTAGTAAATTTATTCATTATGATGTACTAAGTTAGGTTAATGACATCACTGATCATGAAATTAATGGATAGCTAAGGTGAATAAAGTTCACTGGCTGAAATGGTGGGAAGAAAAAGAGAGTACCATCATAAAAATTAAGTATCACTTTGTCTTAACTTAGATGAAAGAAGTGAAAGTCAGATGGATCTCTAGAAAAAGAGATTGGTGGCTGATGGGTTTATTCAAAACCCAAGATAGACTTTGTGAATATATGTTGTTGTCTCGAACTTTATTTTTATCAGGATAGTCATGCCGGTAGGAGTTAAAATTAATCACGCGCTACATATGTTAGATGTCAAAAATGCGTTCCTTAATGGGGAACTAAAGTAAGACATCCATGTGAAATAACTTGATGGTTTTCAGGTTTAAGGACATGAGTACAAAGTTTATAAATTGAAAAGATCTCTGTATGAACTAGACAATGATATTTAAGGTTCCATCAGACCATTCTTGAAGTAGGATTTGAATTAAGTATTCTATTGTGTATATATCTAGATATGCCATGAAAATTTTATCCTTTTATTATTTTATTACTCAATGCAGCTTAATGTTTTGTAGGCATGAAATATTCCGGCTAGGATAAAAGAAACCAAAGTATATCTAGGATCCAAATTTGCAAAAGAGGACGTGGGTGATGTTAATCATGTCCCTGGCGATTAGAATTTCTTGAGATAGAAATTCTAGACTATTTATTTGGATCAAGGAATGTATTTTGAAAAGTGTCAAATGATTCGATATAAAGAATTATGTTATAGATCACTTATTTCTGCAACAGTCAAAGCCTAAATAAATATTATGTGCCATGGTACAAATGAGGAAATATGAGAAATAATGGAAGTCCCCTATGCCCAAGAAGCGGGTTAGTCTCATGTATCCTATGACAAGAATTAGACACAATATTACTCGTGGGTAGGATTGGCGTGCGAATATAAGTCCAATCTAAGTGAGGCACACAGGAAGACAGTGGAAAGAATATTCAACCCTGAATATGAAAATTGGATGATCACCGATCAAATCCTCCCGAGTTGGATCAATGCTACCCTTACAGAAGAACTCGTAGCTGAAGTTGTGGGCTAGAAACTTCTCATGCTACTTCGAAATTCCTTGCTGATACGTATCAACAACATCCCAAGCAAGGATTCATTCCATTAGACATAATTGAATATCCTTAAAAAAGGGACTTCGACAATTTCTGATTATCTTCGTCAACTCAAAGGACTGTTTGACACTCTGGCTGCCATTGGTGTGCCCATCTTGGATTTCGACAAAGTTCAATACATTCTTGCTAGTTTAGGCCCCAAGTACAACACCTCTGCCATTTCAGTTCTTGCTTGTCCTCCCTTTCCATTATACGACGAGCTCAAACCAAATCTTATAAGCCAAAAAATGAGTTTCCAATCTGACAAAGGTCATTGGAAACGCATTTCTTGGCTTGTAAGATTTGGTATGAGCTCATCGTATAATGGAAAGGGAGGATGAGGACAACCGAATTGGCAAAGGTGTTGTACTCGGGGCCTAAACCAGAAAAATGTAATGAACTTTGTCAGCCTCCAAGATGGTTGTGCCAATAGCAGCGAGAGTGTCAAACAGTCCTTTGAGTTGACAAACATAATCGGACATTGCCAAAGTCCATTTTTTTAAGGATATTCTATGGATGTCTAATTGAATGAATCCTTGCTTGAGAACGTTGTTGACACGCATGATGTTCTATGGATGTCCAAGTAGCATGAGAAGTGTCTAGCCCTATGACTTCAACCATGAGTTCTTTTGTGAGGGTAGCGTTGATCCAACTCAGGAGGGTTTGATCGGTGATTATCCAAGTTTCATAATTGGGGTTGGAGACCTCTTGTTCTTGTGCCATAATTGTGGCCGGTGACCTGGGTACATTGCCTTCAACAAAAGCCAATAGTTTATGGCTTCGAAGAACGGTGAGAAATTGGTTTTTCAAAAGTAATTAATTGGTAGAGGTTAGATGAATAGAGATAAGATTAGTGATAACAGACAAGGAAAAAGTAAAGGGAGAAATAGAGAGAGACTGGGTCAAGCCATTGGGTGCTGTGGCTGAAACACCACCGGTTGCTGCAACAACGGAAGTGGCAATTAAATTGCCATGCCTTTTCTTGGGTATCAGTGAGTTTCACAAAGGTTTTCATTGCTTAGAACCTTCTTCGGGCCGTGTTTATATCTCTCGGCACGTCGTGTATGATGAAGGCATGTTTCCTTGTCGTTCCAATGATATTCTTCATTTTCCATATATTACCCACGGCGAGGCTCTCCAATACTCGGATATTGGTCAATGGTTGTCTGCTGATATTGTACCCACCCATCAACCATTACCTCCTACACCCTCAATGCTGCCATCACCCTTCATCATTGTCGAAGCTGCCTCCCAGACATCCAGTGTGCCCACTACTCCAGCACCTACACCATCTGCCCATCATTCTACTGTTCCCTCACCGGGAGGCGGCCACTTGGAGATCATTCTGCCCAATCCTCAATTGCAACAACAATCTTCAAACACTGGTTCAGCTTTGAGTTCCACCCATCCGAGGGTGACCCGCAGAAAATCCTGTTGGGGTCCTCATGGTCTTGGCTCCATTGCCTCATTAGCAATTTCACCTAGACATTTTTATTTTCTTGCGTATTTTTCCAATTCTGATGAACCTTCCACTATCACAGAAACTTTACGAATTCCGCATTGGTGTGCTGCTATGGACGATGAATTGACTGCCCTAAGTCAAAATAAAACTTGGGTTTTGGTTCCATGTCAACCCTATATGCATGTGATCCCCACCAAATGGGTTTAAAACTAAATTTCAGCCATCCGATCAAATTAAACGTCACGAGGCTTGACTTGTTGCTAAGGAATGCTCACTTCATGGAATTCATTTTGATGAAACCTTTGCACCGTTCTCAAGCAACCACTACACGGACATTGCTCACGATAGCCATTGCTCGTGCTTGGCATATTCGCCACTTGGACGTTAAAAATGCCTTCTTACCTGACACTCTCAAGGAGGAAGTTATTCTCAGTCTCCACATTCTGTTTGTCGATTTCAAGGAGCACTTTACGACTTATGCCAAGCTCCACGTGCTTAGTTTGATTGATTTAGCCATCATCTCTTTACTCTTGGATTCCATAGTAATCCCGCTGATCACTCCATGTTTACTCTTCATGTTCATTCGGATATTCTTTTCATCTTTCTCTGTCGATGACATGATTATTGACGTTCTCTTACATAACACGACCAACCATCTTAGTCTCGAATTCTCAATGAAGGACCTTGGCTCTATTCATTATTTTTTGGGCATTGAAGTTGTTTCATCAC